TCTGGAAGATCCATTCCCCCTGCTAGCATACCTCACTCAGTGAAGGCTAGTTGTTGGTGGATAAACAACCCAGCTCCCCCACCCCCTACATGACGGAGCTCTGAGGTGCATGTCCCATCGGTCTCCACAGGGATTAAGCCCGAGATGGCCCTGTATGACCTGTCCACGAGCACACTCTTTACCGGGTGCCCCCCCTTCCCTGTCTCGCCTCCCCTCTCCCCTACCAGTGCTTCCTGCCATCGCCGCCCAGGTAAACCAGCTGTTTATCAGAGTGTTGCTTCTGGGAACCCCAACCGGGTTCATTTCCTAGACCTGAAGATCAGAGGTGTATTGTCTCACCGCTCTGGAGGCCAAAGTCCCAAGCCGAGCTGTTAGCAGGGCCGTGTGGATCCTCTGAAGGCCCCAGGAAGTCTCGCTTGCTCCTCTCCTGGCTTCTGGGAGCTACAGACATTCCTTGGCATTCTTTGGCTTGTGGCCACATCGGTCCTATCTCCACCTCTGCCTTCTGCGTGTGTCCTCTGCTCATCATACTAAGTCACTTGTCAGGGCACCTGGGTGGTTCAGTCGGTTGAGCATCTGACTCTTGATTTCGGCTCAGGTGATGATCCCAGGGTCATGGGATCGAGCCCCGCATTGGGCTCCCCATTGACTGTGGAGCCTGATTCTCTCTCTGCCCTTCTCTCCCCTTTTGTTCTCTCTCAAATAAAAATAAATAAATAAGAAAGACACTTGTCATTGGATTCAGGGCCCACCTAGATCTAGTATGGTACTGAGTCGTGTCATGTTAGCAAATGACATTGGCAAGGACCCTGTTTCTAGATGAGGTCTCAGATGTTTGACTAGGGAGCCTCTCCACTCCAGTGGCCTTCGCTCCTACAACTTGTCACCTATCCTTCAAGTTTCAGCTTGAGGGTCCCTTCTGCAGTTGCGCGTGGAGAGGGTGGGGGGGAGGGGCAGGGAGCCTCAGTTATACCAAGATCCTATTACCCATTCCTGTCTCACCCAATACTCCCTTGTGAATAGTTTTTCATAATTGTACTCTATAGTTTTGCACAGTTGTTGTTAATGTTGCTCTCCCCGCTTCTGGAATGAGAGCCTGGGAAGGGCAGGACCTGGGAGACCCCTGTGTCCCTTCCTAGCGAGTTCAGGTGTGGTATATAGTAGGTGCTCAATAAATATGCCCAGAAAGTTTCCCAACAAACTCCTTTGTCTAGGTGGGGGCGATGCATTGGGCCTCAGACAAGCATCACCCAACCAGACAGGTCACTTGGTGTCTCAGCAAGATGTTCCAGAATCTTCCTGCAGGCGCGCACACGCTCGCGTGCACACACACCGAGAATGAGTCCCCCCCTCCCCAATTTCTCGACGGAATATTTTTTTTTTTTCCGGAGCAGAAAACGAACCATTATTAAAACAACACGGCTACCGGCGGGAAAACCCATTTGCAGCGATTTATACGGGCGTCACCGCGGCTGCTGAGAGGGGATGGGAAGAGAAGCGCGGGGTTTAAGCACTGGGTGAAGAATCGTGTTCCATCAGAGAGAGAACAGATGGGTGTTTTGTCTCCCCCTCTCTCCCCCTGCTTGGGCGCCGAGTTAGGAATCCATGTCAGCCGTGGGTTTGTTCCCAGTGGTGTGATGGGGGTGACGGGGGAGAAGGAGGCCGGGCCAGGCTGCCGGGTCCCAGGGGAGGAGGCACCCCCCTCCCTCTGCCCCACCCCCGCCCCTGCCTGCGGCCCGCTCTGTCTCCTCGACCTGCGGGCGCCCATTATGAGCCCCTTCCTTCCAGGTGCCTCGCACCCCTCCCCGCCGAGCTGCAAGCACACCGCCGGAAGGGGGCGCTTTCGTTTATTTCGCTCGGTGATCCACACCCCCTCCCCCCCAAAGAAAGCTCGATCCAAAGCCAGCTTTGGGGTGGTTGGGAGACGAGACACGGCTGAGTCATTTCGTTGTTTAAAAGCCATCAGTGGCTCCTCTCCTTCCAAGTTGAAACCCGTTAGCGTGGCTCCAGTGACCCTGCCTAGTTTAGACCCAAAGAACCTGTTCAGTTTCACCCCCGCAACGGGCGGCCCCTGCCCCCACCCCAGGCACCTGTGAGTCAAACCCATGAGGCCGTGTGTGGGCCCCATGTCACCCAAAGTGCTTTGCGCGGCCGCCTCTCTGAACATCCTGATTCCTGCGTCCCGGATGCCTTTGATCCTGCAGTGTCCACGGCCTGAGGCCCCCAGGGTTTGACACCCAGAGCCCAGTCCGGCCCACCCGTGTGATTTCTTGAACCTGTACAGGTTTTTAAAAAATTGTAATGAGCTGCTAGCTTTTAAATATCAGGCAACTGTTGCATAAAAATCCGGATTCCTGGAGTCTCTGAGAAGCTGATGTCACCTTCCCAGCGGGGGGTGGGGGTGGGGTGGGCCTCAGCTAGCGTGTCCCCCTGAGGAGAGGGCACAGGTCTGCTGGTTCTGGGTCTCACGTGGTGAGTGGTTGAGGGGACCCTGGAACCAGACTTGCCCTGGTTGGAATCACTCAACCTTCCTGTTCTGGAATCTTCCACGTGCCCACCTGGGGCAATACTCCTCACTTCTCCATCCCGCCTGGTGTGTCCCAGGAGACTGGGCTTTGTGGACTTCACTAATGGGCTCCCAGGTCGTCTGGCTTGTGCTGGATTCAGCCACTGAGGACCCCTGAGGTGAGGAGGCTGTTTATTCCCCAGTTCACCCCCTTACCCCATGGCCTCTGTGGGCCAGCTGCGTCCTTGTCACAGGTTACAGGCTCTCACTGTCCACATAGCCTGTCATGTCTCCAGGGTCTGACAACTCCCTTGCCTCACCTCTCAGAGGTGCTAAGAGCTCCCTAATTTTGTGAGCCCAAGGTGTAGTATCACTCCTACAGCCGTCCCTACTGGGTAAGTTCCTTCCTTGAACTCTGCTTAAATCACCCAACTTTTTTTTTAACATTTATGTATTATTGAGAAACAGAGAGAGACAGAGCGTGAGCAGGGGAGGGTCAGAGAGAGAGGGAGACACAGAATCTGAAGCAGGCTCCAGGCTCTGAGCTGTCAGCACAGAGCCCGACGAGGGGCTCAAACCCACGAACCGTGAGATCATGACCTGAACCAAAGTTGGACACTTAACTGACTGAGCCACCCAGGTGCCCCATAATGTTTGTTTATTTTTGAGAGAGAGAGAGAGAGAGAGAGAACCTGAAGCAGGCACAGAGCCCGATGTGGGGCTTGAACCTACAAACTGTGAGATCGTGGCCTGAGCTGAAGTCGGACGCCCAGCTGACTTAGCCCCCCAGGCGCCCCGATATTAACAACTGCTAACCTTCACCACAGTCCCTATCTCTCCTTTTTGTCTCTGGGACACAGAAGCTGAGGGTTATCTGTGCCATTGTTGATGCGGTTGGCCTTGGCGTGGCTCTTTGGCGTGTTTATATCACCTGCTGTCCCCTATTGGCTGTGGCTCAGGTCCGTGTCATCACCTCTGCTGTAAGGAGTTCCCCGGCCACCCCCCCACCTCCCCGCTTAACCACCCCCGACACCCTTGCCCAGGAAGGGTGATCCTAAGGTATTGGAATGCTCGATTCTTGGGTCTGCCTTCCACACGGTACCGTTGGGCCCTCATACAGGCTTCATACGTGTCTGTGGAATTGACTGCCAGGGTCTGTAGTAGCTGCTTAAAACAGGCGTTGATTCAGTTCCGGAGCCCGGAAGCTGCTCTCCAGGAGTCCACAGAGCTGCACTCCCTCCTTCCGGCTCCAGCGGAAAGATCCTCCCACGCCCTTCCCAGCTTCTGGTGGGTCTTGGCTTGTGCCCTCCACGTGGTCTTCTCTGTGTCCCCTCCCCTTCTCAGGACACTCGTCGTTGGATTCAGGGCCCACCCTGATCCAGGAGGGTCTCCTCAAAAGATCTTAACTTAATTCCCTCTGCGAAGACCCTTTTCCCAAATAAGGTCGCGTCCACAGGTTCTGGGTGGACGTACCTTGTGGGGGCCACGCTTTGGCGCAGTCCAGCTGCACAGCTTTCTGGAGTCCTAGCTAGCTTTCCTTTCCCCTCGCTTATTTGATTTTTTAAAGCCAGTGGTAACCAGACCCTTGCCTCCTGGCCCGCAGTGGGGAAGGAAGGGGGTCATTTCCCTGCCAGGACTGGAGGCATAGGCCCAAATGTCATCCGATGGCACGGCTCTCTGTTTCCAGCACAGGCCGAGCCCTGGGGAAATCTGCTGCTCTGTGGGCTCTGCCGGAGTGCTGGGGTGAGCCCTTCCCCTTCCCCCCTTCCCCCTCCCCTGCAGAGAACACCCAGCAAACACCACTGCGCATTCCTTCCGCGTGGGGCTGGGCTGAGTGGTTGTCATTTCTCCTTAATATGTCAGAACTGTGTGTTCCCTTCAACGGTCCACGGGCTGCCCTCTGACCTGCCGCCCCGTTTCTTTCCAGGCCTGACAGGTTGGGTTAAGAGCGAGCGATCCCCTGAGCTGAGGCAGACTTCTTTGCCTCTGAGCCGCTTAAGCTCTCCCTCCCCAAGAATGCCCACAGCTCCCGCCCTGACTTTCTCCCTGACTTTCTCCGGCCAGCCAGCGATGCCTCATTCTCCCTGCCCCCCTTCCCCCTGATGCAGAACGGCCAGCTGGCCCAGGGCCGGGTCTTTTTAGCCTGTGGGAGTTAACATTTTGTTTTGTGGGGTTTTTTTCCCTTATAATTTCATTTTTTAAAAATTTTTTAAATGTTTATTTCTGAGAGAGAGAGAGCGTGAGCAGGGGAGGGTCAGAGAGAGAGGGAGACACAGAATCTGAAACCGGCTCCAGGCTCCGAGCTGTCAGCACAGAGCCCGGCACGGGGCTCGAACCCACAAGCTGTGAGATCATGACCTGAGCCGAAGTCAGACGCTTTTACCAACTGAGCCACCCAGGCGCCCCTCTTGCAATTTCTTTTTAAGGTATGATTCACGCAACGTAAGAGTAACCATTTTAAAGTGTACAACTCAGTGCGTTTTTGTATATTCAGGTGTTGCACAACTATCACCAGCATCTAGATCCAGAACATTCTCATCACCCCCAAAGGAAATCTTGGACCCAGGACCAGTCGCTCTCCATTCCTCCTCCTCCAGCCCCGGTCAACCACTGATCTAATTTCTGTCTCTATGAATTTGCCTATTCTGGACGTTTCTCATAAATGGATTCATACAATCTGTGGCCTTTTGTGTCTGGTTTTTTTCACTGAGCCTGATGTTTCCAAGAGTTGCTCATGCTGTAGGGTTAACTCTTTTATGGTGAAACACATACGCCTTAAGCATATAGCTTGGGAATATAGGATTTTAAAAATACGTTCCAGGGGCGCCTGGGTGGCTCGGTTGGTTGAGTGTCCGACTTCAGCTCAGGTCATGATCTGATGATTTGTGGGTTCGAGCCCTGCGTCGGGCTCTGTGCCATCAGTTTCAGGTTCTCTGTCTCCCTCTCTCTGCATTCTCTCTCTCTCTCAAAAATAAATAAACATTATGGGGCGCCTGGGTGGCTCAGTAAGTTAAGCGTCCTACTTCGGCTCAGGTCATGATCTCATGGTTCGTGGGTTTGAGCCCCGCATTGGGTTCTGTGCTGACAGCTCAGAGCCTGGAGCCTGTTTCAGATTCTGTGTCTCCCTCTCTCTCTGACACCCCCCCACCCCCACTCATGCTGTCTCTCTCTCTCTCTCTCAGAAATAAATAAAACATTGAAATAAAATTTTTTAAAAATACGTTCCATCCTAGTCACCACCACCCAGCTCAAAATACAGAATATTCCAGCCTCTCAGAGGCTCCCTAATGGCCACTTTTCAGGGACTGGCCTTACCCCAAAGTAGCACTTGCCCAGTGGCCCTCACCTGAAGGTGACTGTACTCCAGCACACAAGGGACATGTGTTGCACTGGGGATATGCTACCGGCATCTAGTGGGGACACACCGGGGACACGCCTCAACTCCTCCATGGTGCAGAACGGACCTCCCACCACAAAGAACCCTCCGGGCCCAGATGTCCATGGCCTACAGGAAGCAAAACTTGGGGTCCCAACTCCGCAGATGACTTCTGCCTGTCCTTGAATGTCACAGAAGCGGAGCATGCAGTGCACCCTAATTGTGTCTTATACTTTCGCTCGACATTATGCCTTGAGACTCATCATGCTCAAGGCTCTCCATGTATCTATACTTTGTACTTTGTTCTTTTTCATCACTGTATCATATTCCACTGTGTGTGTGTGTGTGTGTGTGTGTACACAATTCTTTTCCATTTGCCAATCAATGGCCACTTGGCTGGAATCCGGAGGTATTCAGGGTCGATGATGAATGTGTCTTTTGCTGGGAATGAATGCATGTTCCCACTGGGAAGAAACCCAGGAATGGAAATGCTGGGTTAGGGCAATTCCTCCTTAGCAGATGAGTCTGGGATCATTAAAACTCAGGGAATTTGGGGGACGCCTGGGTGGTTCAGTCGGTGAAGTGTCTGACTTGGGATTTCGGCTCAGGTCATGATCTCACGGTTCATGAGATCCGAGCCTCGCTTTGGGCTCTGTGCTGACAGCACGGAGCCTGTTTGGGATTCTGTCTCTCCTTCTCTTTCTCTCTCTGCACCTCCCCCACTTGTGTGCGTGCTCTCTTTCTCTTTCTCTCTCCCTCAAAATGAATATACTTAAAAAAAAAATCTTAAAGCTCAGGGAATTTTGCACTAAACTCCGGAATTCTGGCTTCTCCTGAGGAATCCATGCTGGTCCCTGTGAGCCTGACTTTGCACATGGTAGCACTCAGCTAGAGTTCAGGAGTAGCAAGCGACTGCTGGCCTAAACGGAGGGTGCCCTCCCTCCTCGCTGCCTCACACCTGCCTCACTTCGATGCTTTTGTTCCCTGGTCCGCATTTGGATTTATGGCACCTGTTCTGGACCCATGGAAGGCCAGGAATCTCTTTCTGCCTTTCTGTGGCCATGGCCTTGACCTTCATGGGACCCTCCCCTCCCCTCTCCGCGCCCTTCCCCATTCCTCTCCATCTCACAGAGCCTGCGATCCCTTTAGACCTGACAGACATTTGCCAGGTTACCTCAGGCCCCATCCCTCCCTGTCGCCCCAATGCAACCTGGACCGTGCTGGCATTTTTCTTGGCCACATCCCGAGGCCCCCTTCTCCACCGTGATCTGCCAGAGGGACCAGGGCCTTCTGGTTTTCAGCCGGTGGGTTCCTGCGGTCCGATTACGGGTCGCTTCCCCAGGGCAGCCTTTGCTGAGCCCTCTGGCTGGGGAGGGTCTCCCAAGGGTCCTCTCCCGCAGTCCCCACCTGTCTTCCAAGGCTCACATTTGCGGTGACAAGTCCTTGCCAGCTCCCAGCCAATGCGCCTGTGCATCTCACTCATTGCCATTTGCCCACCACCCGGCTCGTCGCACAGTAAATACTGGCCGTGGGGCACAGGCCATAAAGGGGAGGCCAGGGGGGATAAACCGCTTCCCGGGCTGCTACCTTCTGCAGAAGCAAGCTGAGCCCCTAGACGAACGTGACAGGCACCGTTCCTCCTCAGAAGGTCTTTCCCCAAGGCTGGTCCAAGGGGTCAGGGTCCGAGATGTCTGGCCCGCCCCTCCCCAGTCCATCCCAGCCAAGGCTGGCAAAGCGCAGGGCCCCTTCCCTGGGGTCCTTGACTTCCTACAAGTCAGCCCACCCCCAACCATCCCGGCCACCCCCAATGTCCCCCAGCCAAGTCCCCAAGGCAATGCCTTCACCTCTAGGACCCCCCCTGACTCCTCACCTGCTCACCTGTCTTCCTTCCCCCAGCTTTGCTCTGTGCCTTCGGAGGTTTCCTCCCAACCCCGCGCTCCGCCAGACCCCTCAGCGCTCCCCCCCCCGCCCCCCTCCAGCTCACACCCCTCCTCCAGGCTCTCTGCTGACTCGTGCTCCCTCACCTTCTCACACCCTCGACCTCCCCTGGGCTTGCGTTCTCCTTCCTCTCAGCAGCCCCCACCTCCGACAAGCTCAGGTCTGTCCCTCCGTTCCCGCTTTGTCCCCTCACCCTCCAGCTCCTCCGCCAGCTCTGCGCTCTTCCCCCTCCTCCCCTGGCCCCGCGGCCGCGCCTCCTGCGCACCTAAGGGGGAAGGGGCGGGGCCTCCTCACCTGGCGGCCGCAGAGCAGCGGGGCAGCGGCCCCTAGCGGCCGGGGAGGGAAGCGCAGCTGCCCCCCCCCACCCCCCCAATTGGTACCTAACTGGGAACCAGCCACACTACTCCTGCCTACCCGCCTCTCAGGCTGCAGCCCCTCTGCTTCCTGGACTTGTCCTTTTCGGGAGTGAGGGGGTGGGGGGGTTTACAGTTTTCAGTGGTGCGTCATGAGGTGATCTTTCATCAGTCCTGATGCTGGGTACAAAGGTTAGGGGGTTCTATTGGCTCTGCCTCTAGGCTATGCCTCAGATCCGACCACTTTGCCTTCGCATCCTGTTCCCGGCCTCTGTGGACTCCCACCTGGCGCGATGGCGGCAGCCACCTCCCCAGCTTCCTGGCTCCTTCTCAAATCCGCCCCTACGATTTTGTTTTAACTGAGGGAAAATCCACATAACATAAAATTAACCGCTAACCACTTACAAATGAACAATTCAGTGGCATTTCATACACTGACGATGCTATGCGACCACCACGTCTATCTAATTCCAGGTATTTCCATCACCCCAACAGGAAACTTGTACCCAATAGCAGTCAGTCTGCCCCCCCCTTCCCCCCAGCCCCTAGCGACCATTAATCTGCTTCTGTCTTCACAGATTTCTCTGTTCTGGATATTTCATATAAATTCAATCACACAAGAGCTGGTGTTTGGTGTTTTCAAGATCCGTCCACATCGTAGCAGGTGTCAAGACTTCATTCCTTTTTCTGGCTGAGTAGTATTCCCTTGCATGGCTATACAGCATTTTATCTGTTCCCTCATTGATGGACATTTGGGTTGTTTCCATCTTCCAGCTTTTGTGAATAATGGTGGTGTGAACATTGGTGCGCTAGTATCTATTTGACTACTTGCTTTCACTTCTTTTAGGTATACACTTAGGAGTGGAACTGCTGGGTCATATGGTAATTCTGCGTTGTATTTACTGAGGAACCACCTCTATAATCTGCTACACATTTAAATATGAAGATGCTGTCTCTCTGCTTGTAGCCCGCCTTTGGCTCCCCTGTCACTGAGAGTCCAATCCAGACCCTCCTCATGGCTTTTGAGGCTGTGCCTAGTGCGCACACCATGCTGGCCCTTGTGTTCTTCAAAGAGTCCTGTTTATTCCAACCACAGGGCCTTTGCACTTGCTGTTTGTTCTTGGATCACACACGATGGGGTCCTCAGCTTTCAATTGCCTCCGCCTCAGAAAGCCCACCCCCATCTGCCCCATCACCTCCCCATCTCACTTCCTTCTTTCCCCCTCACTCACTCCATCCAGCCACATAGGCCCTCTCACGATCCTTTGACCACCCAGCATGTTTCTGCCTCAGGACCTTTGCACAGGCTGTCCCCCCTGTCTGGAACACCCTTCCCCCATGACTCCTCCCTCATCAGGTCTTTATCGGAATACCACCTTCTCAGAGAAGGCTTCCTTGACTTCCTCCAGCATTAAAAACTGCAGGTACTACCATGCCCTCTGTCTTCTTTCCTTAATCTTTTTCACAGCACTTCTCATCATCTGACATCCTGTATCTTGTCTGATCCTCACCTGATGTCACAGCCCCCAGAGAACAGAGCATCTTGTCTGTTGTGTTCATCACTGTCACCAGAAACTGGTACAGCGCCTGGCACACAATAGGTGCTCAATAGATGCTTGTTGACTGGCTAAATATCTTCTCAGCAAAGATGGCAGCTGGAGTCCATCTCTGCCCCCAAGTCAAGCCTCCTGACCCAATTCTGACACCTCTTTACCTTGCTTTTCACTTGAGTAAGGGCGTAGCATGGGATGGGGTTACAACATTGCCCAAAGCATGATAGAGGATGCCAGGGGCACACAGAACCCCACCTGCTCACCCCTCAAGGCTCAGCCCCAGCTGCCGTCCACTTCCCTAGCACCCTGCCCGCTTTCCGGGGCTGATTCCACCATGCCTCCTGTGGCCATTTACCGCCAGAACCAGAATGCCCCGAGAGGGCTTCGAGTCACGTTCTTGGGGCCTCAGGGCTTCCTCAACGCAACCCCCATGCCCGCACTAGGGGCATGTAAGGGGTGCCCTGTGTTTGAGGAATAAATGGCAGGAGTGAATCTATGAGCCGAATGATAAAATGGAATGGATGCTAAGAAAAGTCCAGCGGGAGGGTGGGGGTGGGGGGGGAGCGTCTGGTGAGCCGTGGAGGTCTGGACTCAGGTCCTCCTGAATCCAGAATGCGTTTCATACCCACCTACCGACTGCCCCCCCGCATCTACGTGCCCCCCTGCTCATGTTACAAGCTTTGGCCTGGCACTCAGGACTGAAGCTGGCACTGAGGACCTAAGGAGCCTGAGGTAGGACACCTGGATACAGGGGAGGCTGGAGGGGGGCCGAACCCGGACATGGGCGTCAAGGCCATGCATGCAACACAAGGAGGAGAGCACAGGGCAGGGACAGAGGGCACGGGGTGAGTTGAGCCATGTCTGAAGCTGGGGACGCCCGAGGTGCTAACGTGCACCTTAGCAGGGTCTCCAAGATAGGAGGATCAGAAGGTGAGGTGGCCTCGGCGCGGGACATCCTGGGCGTGGAGGTTTCCTGGCACAGGGTGCACGGAACGTGGGGGGACCCCAGGCGAGGGGCAGGCTGGGCACAGGAGGACCGCGGCGCACGGTAGGATGCGCGGAGCTGAGAGTCCTCCCCGGGAGGGGAGTCGCCGCGCGGGGCGCCCGGTAGCGACCGCACAAGGCACACGGCGCCCGGGCAAGACTGCGCGCTCGCGCGGACGCGGCGGTTCCGGGAGCCGGGCCGTCTCGCAGACTCCACTGCGGCTGCGCAGCCCAGGAGTTGGGGGGGGGCGTGGTGGAGGGCGTCAGGGCTCTTTCGCGCCCCCAGTCTTTGCCCATCCTTTGCTCCTGAGCCCCTGGCCCGTGAGATCCAGGAGACTGGGATGGAATGGCGGCTGCCTAACTGATGCTGGCTGAGAGCGAGAGGAGGGGCTGGGAGGGGGTCCCGGCCGGGCTTCCCCCTCCCCCCCCGAACTGAGCCGGGAGCCCCTTAAAGCCTGCGACCCCTTCGTTTTATATAAGTAAAAACCACCCCTTCTGGCAGTCCCTGGAGAATGCAAGTTAGAACCACCTCACCTCCCAGACAGATGCTTAGATTCCTAGGGGTGCTCTGCTGGGGGAGGTGAGGGGCTGCTCATTGCTGGAGGCTGGGGGGTGGGAGGAGGCTCAGAGCCAGAGGGCTCTGGAGGTGCCTGCCCAGCTTTCTCTGTGCTGCACGTTATAGAAAGCTGGCACTGCCCCCGCTCCCCAGCACCCCAAAGCCTTCCTTGGGTCCTATCAGGTGCTGTTAGTGTATCTCAAAGTGAGAAACTGAGATGTGCAGAGGTGAGACACCCCCTCCCATCTCCTCCCCTCCCCCCAGTAGATCCGCAGAATCCTTTCTGCGACTGCCAACCTCTGCTTCGTTCACATTTGTTCTTAGATCCAGTTGTTGGGCTTAACCACTCAGATTCAAGGCCTGAGCTCTACAGCCATGGAGTCCTGGGAGTTCAAGGGGAACAAAGGTGGCTCCCCTCGCGCCCCCCCCCACCGGAAGTTTTGGGGCCTGCTTTGCCCCAGGTTCTGGACTACAAAAATCCCTGCCTCGTCCTGAAATTAACACTCTCCGTTAAAGGGGGCAGTAGGTTGCCAAGGATTTGGCCCCTGGTCACCCAGCACGCCTGGAAGTCTGGTGTCTTCTCTTTCCCTATGTTCGGCTCTCTCCATGTGCTTTCTGGAAGGGCTTCTGAGAGGCCAGCGTCCTTTGCTTGCAGATATTCAGTTTAGGCTTCCTCCCTGGGAGTTCCCATCCAGCTCTGCCCCACGTTTTGTGTATTAACCACCCAAACCCTCCCACTGCGACTTCCACCCCATTCATCACCCATTCTGCAGAAACAAGCTCGGGTGGCAATGCATTCTCCGGGAGTTTGCCCTCCTCTCCTTCCTCAGTCCTTTCCCTTCCTCTATAATCCAGATCCAGATCCAGATTTGTCTGCCCTACTTCACCACGCCTCACTATATGCCCACTCTGGACCCACCAAGATTCAGCCGGGACGTTGGCCTTCGCACAAGCTGGCCCCTTTACTATTTAGGCCTCGCTTAGATGGACTCCCTTCCCCGAGGATCCAAGCCAGGGATTTGCTCCTCCCCATCCATAAGTCTTCGAGTTGTACCCAGCTTTCAGAAAACTGAGCCAGCAGCCGGGCTGCTAGGTCCAGTCTCCTGAGATCCCAACTGGATCTTACCTCTCGGTACCTTCCAGTAGCCCTCACCCCTCCAACCCCCCCCCCCCAGCCCCCACCTGGCACTGAGTTCTCTGTTCTGCTGAAGTGCTTATTTTTGGCCTGGGGCCCGGTTTTATAGCCCCCACTGTGGGTCTTGGCAGCGACAGTCTGGTTCCGGGGATCCACGCCAGGTCGGACAGCCTTCCCCACCCTGGAGAGGGGGTGCGGGGCTCCCTCTGCAGCTTTGGCCTGAAACCTGCCCTTCACCTCACTCGGCCAGATGCCTAGGAACCCTCTGGTTCCTTGCCCTACTTCTTCAAGTCTCCCAGCTGCAATGTAGTGGCTGGGCTGTGAAATTCCGTACCGGGTTTTTGCTCTTGCCGAGAACCTAAAATTCCATTTTTTCCTCCCCCCCCACCCCATCTCCCCTCCCTAAGCAAGACGTTTGAGGCGTTTATAGATACAACCTCCACCTAACGCTCCCCTCCCGGGTCCTGCTGTCCCATCAGCTCCAAGCCCTTGTCCAGTTGTCCAGGATCTTCTGGGGTCTTATCCTGTCCCGCCAATTCCAGTCCAGGCTTTGCGGCCCTCCCTCGTCTTTTATTGTAGGTCTGGTCTCCCAGGGTAGCGGCCTCCTCAATGCATTCCCTTCGCTTCGCCCCTGGATCCTGAAGCCGCTTTTACCAGCCGGCTTCGTTGCAGCCAGCGCTCCGGATCCCTCGGAGCCAGAGTCCAGCCCTCCTTTTGCCCCTCCCCCTTGCACGTCTCCGCCAGAAAGGTTGGGGCAGCCCGTTCGGCCTCAGCCGCTAAGCAGCCCCCTCCTGGAGCCCCCTGCGAGCCCGGGTCTGGGGATTCTAGGCCAGGTCTTGCTTGCTCCCACTGCATTAGGCATGACGCATTACTCCGTCTCCCGAGGATGAATCCGGCCCCAAATTTGCGTGCCCCGGGTGCATTTGGCCCTGTCGCAGCTACTTCCCCCCACCCCCCTTCTCCCATCTCTGTCTAATCCAATCCGGGTTTTGCATACCCCTTCCAGAGCTCCTCCATTTCTCCCTTCGCCGCCGGCTCGGCGCCTTTCCCTTACTTAACCGCCGGCGAAATCCTCTCTGGGTCTTCCCTGCGCCCGCCTCCCTTCCCCCACTCCCGGTTCCGACGCAGCGACCCGGCACGTCGCCTTCCCTCTTTTCGCGTTTCCAGAGGGTCTGTAGGAGGCGAAGGAAAGGAAACTCCAGTCCGGGTTTTCTGGTCGGCCCCCGGTGCGCCCGGGCTGGTTGCGGCGGCCGATCCCAGGCGGCAGCTCCGGGCCAGGTTTTGCGCGCGCCCGCCGCCCCCCTCCCGGAGCGGGTGCGTCGGGGAGAGGGGCGAGCAGGCGGCTTGTCATTGCTGGTGCCCGGCACCGGCTCGGTCCGCGCGTCCTGCGGTGCCCACGGGCCCGGCCCGGCGCCCCCCCCCCTCCGGCCGCCCCGGGGGCGCGACGCCGCCGCGCCCGCCTCCAGCCGCGCCCCCCCAGCTCCGCGCCGCCCGCCCCCAACCCGAGCCCCCCGCGGCCACTGCGGGGAGCCCGAGCCGTCGGCGCGGGAGCTGTTGGCGCTGCGGCGCCTCCGCCCCGCCGTCTGCCGAGGAGGCCCCGGCGGATGGGGCCGAGCGGGCCCCGGAGCGGCGCCGCCGGGCGGCGGGGGGCTGCAGGGGCGCCCCGGCTGGCCCGTTAACCCCTCGGCCGCCGCCGCCGCCGTCGGAGGGGGCTGGGAAGTCGCCTGGGCGCACACGTGCCGCCTCCGTCGGGGCCGCGGAGCTGCGGGGGAGATGCGGGCCGCTGTCGGCGCCGCCTCGGGGGGCTCCGCCTCGCCCCAGCCCCCGGAGCTCTGACGCCGCCCCCGCCCCGCCGCCTCCGCCGCCTCCCTCTCCGGGAGGGGTGCAGACCCGCTCGCCCCCAGCCCCGAGCCTCTGCCGCCGCGAGGGGGCCGCCTTTGGAGCGTATAATCCGCTTTTTTTTTTTTAATTTTTTAATTTTTTTTTTTAAATTTTTGGTTAGTGGCGGCGGTGCTGGGCCGGGGGAAGGAGGGGACACGGAGGCCGCCCTCGCCCCGCCACCCCTCACCCTTTTCCCCCCCGCCCCGGTTCCGGGAGATGTGCCGGGCGGGGGGCCGGGGTTCGCGGAGCCGCGGGAGAGACGCGCAGGGCCGACCCCGGAGCGGCGCCGGACAGGTGAGTGTCTGCGGGTCCGCGGCGAAGAGGACGCGGCACCTGGGCCAGGTGTGCGGGCCGAGGCGGGCAGGGGGGAGGAAGGGAGCCGAGGCCTGTCCTGGCCGCGAGGGGGGAGGGGATGCTGGAGCCGCGACTCACTGCACCTGAGCGGGAAGGGAGTCGGGGGGCGGCCTTGCACTTCGTATCCCCCAGCTTGGGGGTCAAGAGGGGCGGCTCCCAAGGAGGACTGGGGACGCGGGGGTGCGGATGGGCGGCCGCGGGGTGCCCGGCGGGGGGAGGGGACCGCGAGTGTGCCCGCGCGTGGCTGCGTGTGCCCGCGCGCGCGCCAGCCTTTGTGGGGAAGCGGCGCGGCGGTGCCTGCGTGTCCCCGGTGCGTGTGCGCGCGGGTGCTTGGCGCCCTGTTTGTGTAGGTGTCTGGGTGTGAGCGGAGAGGGTGCGTGTGCGCGCCGCGCGCCGGCCCCGGCCCCCGGAGGAGCAGTGCCGAGGGCTGGCACCGCAGGACGCTGGGCTGGGGATGGCTTCTCCTCCGGGAGGCAGAGACGCGGTGGATGGGGAGGGGTCCGGCCGGGTGTCCGGCCGGTCGCAGCCCGGGGGTCACCGCTGTCAGGAGGTGTGCAGCCCGGCTGCGTCTTCTCTCTCTCTCTCTCTCTCTCTCTCTCTCTGGCACCCGGTTAAGCCCGGGAAGCTGTTGGGTTTGATCCACCCGGATTCGGGCTTTGGAGCCCTTCCTCTCCCCCAGGTGTTTATTGGGTAGAGCTATGGGGTTTCCACGGGCCTCCTCCCGTCCACGGAGGGTCCCGGGACGGGAGTCCAGACCAGAAGGGGGTGGAGAGCGCTATGGGTGGTGCTCCAGCCTCGAGCAGAAAAATGCCCCTGCAGGCAGTGGTCCACCGACACCCCCCTCCCCGCACTCAGGTGAGGACGGCACCCTGCTTGCACAGCCCCCACGCACAGCCCTGTCCCCCCTCGTCCGGTCTAGGTCAGCACCCAGCCCCAACCCTGCCCAGCCCCTCACTGTAGCTTGCTGGCCGGTAACCACTGCCCCCCATGACCCACCCCTGGGGGTGGGGGGGGAACAGCTGCGTGGGGGTCCAGCCATCCCAGTCTTGTGGCAGGGTCCCCTTTCCCCCTGGCTCCCGCAGGACCCAGAGCCTGGGTTAGTCTGCCCACATCCAAACATGTGGTGTGCCTGGGGGAGCAGGGGGAGGGGTTCAAGATGGCTGCCAAGATGGCTGGTCGCCTCTCCGCCTCTCTGTCCGTTTCTCTCTCCCTCTCCTTCTCCTGCTTGCTCTGTTCCCTTCGCTGCTGCAGGAGTCACCGCAGAGAAGGGGTTGGACAGAGTGGGGACAGGTGTGGGGGATTCCTAAGGATGATGTCTGCTCTGGGCCTGTTGACCTCAATGCTGTTTGCTTCTTGGGGAGAGGCTGTTGGTCTCTGCTCTTCTTCCCAGCACCCCAGGGGCCGGTGTGAGCTTGTAACCCGACCCCAGACCCCATCCCTTCAGCCCTGCTAACAGCTGGGGGCTCCCTGCCCTCCACCTGCTCTCCTAGGCCCAGCACCCTGAATTATCATTGGGATGGCTCAGGGGACCCTCCCCGGGGCCCGGGTCAGGCCCCAGCTCCGGGGGCAGGTGACTTCTCTTTCCTCCCCACTCCCCACCCACTAATGCCAAATTTATTACTTAAAAGTAGGATGAAAACCGCGAGAATAAGAGAAGGAATACAACCTTCATTATCATATCGAGAAAATTATCCGTGATTTTCCTAACTAGCAATTTGCCTGCCATGCCGTTCAGAACTGACTTGCCCATTAATTACAGAGATGAAAAATCATCTGGAAAGCGGAAAAGGGAACTAATTCGATCCCTGGCTGGCGGCAGCGGCACCCCTGCACCGAGCCACATGCGTGTTCCCTCACATGTGAGCGCCCGCCCTCCTCCTGAGCCCGCCACCTTCCTCCTCTCCCTCGGTGACCTCCCGCAGGGGCTGAGCCCGCCCCATGCGTGTCGCCCCTGCGTGTCGCCCCTGCCCTCCCGGGTCTCCACAGGACACCCATCCCCACCCCCACTCTTGGGGAGCCGGCCTTGGGCACCCCTGCTGATGCCTCCCTTGTAGGCCCCAGTACCTGGGGAGGAGGTGGAAGGGAGACTCATGAAGCCGTTTCTATTCCCAGCCATGCCCTGGTGCCCTGGGGAACCTAGGAGGACAGCCCCCCCACCGCCGCAGGTGTGTGGGGGAGGGGCTGGCGGGCTCCCTGGCTGCTCTGGAGTCTGGATCCAGCCCGGGTGCCTCCGCCTGTGAGAGCCGCCTGCATCTGGGGTTTGCATCCTCCTCACACGCCCAGGCTGGCGGGAGAGCATGAGCCCCAGCGTGGGCATCTGGTGGTGGGGGGTGCTGATCCCAGGGGGCTGTGCTGCTTGGCTAGAGTGGGTACCCCTAGTGGGGAAGAAGAGGAGCGGAATCCCCGCCGTCCCCACCCGCTGGCTGGCGGTGGGGGGCCCGGAGCTCCGGGTCTCTGCTCCCTCCTACCTCTCCAGCCGGCTGCCTGGCCAAGGACGAGGTTCTGGTTTCACTGTGGGCTCCTGTCAAGGGTCCGATTTCCAGCCGCCAGACACTTCCCCTCTCCCAGACCCCTCTTGGGGCGGGGGGTGTTCCCTGGGTCTGGAGTCTGGCCCTGGCTGCCGCGACCCTGCGAGCTGTCCTCCTGGGCTGGGTGTCGGCCACCCCCGCGACAGGGATGAGCAGGGGCCCGGGCCCGGGCTCAGAGCCTGGCGGGGATGGGGGTATCTCCCCGCCCCCAGAATCCAGTCCTCTGTCACATGTCTGTGTGTGATTTGGATGGTGACCTGGCTACGTCCGTGTGTGATCACGTGTCCAACAGGCCCGTCCAGCGTTTGCACGGGTGTCCCGTGTGCCGGCATTGGTGACTTTTGCAGAGCGGGCGACACCGTGCTTGTCTGTGGCTCCCCACGGCACGGGGGCAGGGGCCTGCCTCCCATGCCCCGGAAGGCATGTGCCCAGGTGTGCACACGCGAGGCTTCGTGCCACGGGGCTGGGGGCACCCTTTCGTGCAGTCTGCTGGCCGTGCGACGGGGACAGTGCCCTTCCTGGAGCTCACAGGCCGGCAACATGTGGGGATTTCAGTCCAGGGGCCTGTATTACAGGACTTGCGGAGAAGGTTGCCATCTCCCTTCTAGGTGGCCAGGGTCCTGGCTGAGGAGGGGCAGCCCCAGAGTCGGAAGGTGGCAGCCCCTGGGTCCAGATAATACATGGCACTGGGGCATCTTGCGGTTTGGTCCCGCGTGAACTTCCCCCTCACCTCATCCCCTGCACTCTCTCTTGCCTCGCTATTCCACCAACATGTTAAGTATAGTTCTACCCCAGGGCCTTTGTACTGGCTGTTCTTCTACCTGGGACCCCCACCCAGACATCCACAAGGCTTTTGCTTCTTCACCCTCTTCAGATGTCACCCCCCTCCCTGTAACCTTTACCCCACGCAGCCTGTTTAAAATCGCAGCCTCCACGCCCCCCCACCCCCCCTCCCCCCGCCTAGCACGGCCGTTTTGCACACTCTATCATTTCTTTCCTTATCATGCCTGTTCATTTATCATCTGTCTCCCCAGCCAGGATCCAAGGGCTTGGGGAGTTGATCACTTGGTTTGCTTTTGGACCCCAGGTGTCTAGACTTCTTGCTGACCCAAGAAATCTTACCTGAGTGGATGGGAGGGGGCTGTCAAAGGACTGGAGGTCTCCAGCTGTGCCTAGCCAGGGCCCCCCATCCACCCCAGCCCTTTGGGGGGACTGCGGGCCACCGCTGGGGGCCTGCCCAGGCTGTTTCTGCCCCTGTTCCCCGCGCCCGCCTGTCAGTACTCTCTCTGAGCTGGCCTCCTGGGCCTCAGTGTGTGAGGGCCTCTGCACGGAGGGGTGCGTGCCATTGGGGGGTGGGGCGGGAGCTAGGGGCCCCCTGCCTCTGCGGGGGGGGGGGATTGGAGACCCAGGGTCGGCCGAGCAGCGCCCCCCTGCTGGGGCACAGACCCTTATTTCCAGTCGGCCTGGGCTCTGGGGAAATAGCCCAGCAGAAGCCCCCTGCTTCCCCGACTCCAAACTCTGGGGAAGATGAAAATGTCAGTAAATAGAGGCTGGGGCTAAAAATAGCCGGGGGGCCCCCCAAAACTAAAAATAGCCAGGGTCCCTCCCTCAAGACTAAAAATACCCTGGAAGTCAGGCTCGCAAGGGCCAAGCCAGGAGCCAGGTGGGTGCTCCTGTCCGGCCCCCGGAGAGGTGGCACGGGCAGGCGACAGGGTCCCCAAGCCATGGCGGTCCTGGGGCGGGGGCCCGGTCACTCTCTGTGGGGGCTGTCCTGAGGATCCTAGGACTTTGGTCAGCATCCCTGCTCGGCCCTCTAGACACAGGTAGCAGCCCCTCCCCTCCCCACCTTCCCCGGGGGTGAGGCCCCAGACGTTGCCAGAGAGCCGGGGCTGGAGAACAGAATCACAGAATCGTGCCCTTGTTGAGAAGGACTGCTCAGGACCAGGGGTTCTCACAGTTTCTTGTTCGGGAGACTCGCAGGTCACCTGTCTGCTCTTGTCTCCTCTTCTTCCTCTGCCTCCTCTTCACAGCCTTTTATTACTTTTTTTAGTGTTTATCTTAAACGTTTATTTCTGAGAGAGAGCAGATGCGGGTGGGGGAGGGGCCGAGGGGGTGGGACAGAGGATCCAAAGCGGGCTGGGCCCAGACAGACAGCACAGAGCCCGATGCGGGGCTTGAACCCACAAACCGTGAGATCGTGACCTGAGCCAAAGTCGGACGCTTAACCGACCGAGCCACGCAGGCGCCCCGCCTCACAACCTTTTAAACGCGGCAAGAGCACTCTTACTCCACTGGCTGTGTGAAAACAGGGAGTGACTGGGCCATAGGGGGTCGGCTTCTGCCCGAGGGAACCCCACAGCTGCCCTCGGTGGTAGAAGCTGGGGCACCTGTGGACGCACCCTCCTCAGCAGA